AAGTTACAAATATAAATGAGTTATACACAAAACACCTTTTGCCACTTTTTCATTAGCTTGGACATGCTTACTCTTGGTTTATAGTTTCTGACATAGGCAAACTGTTCTTGGCAAAGCATGTCAGATGTGCGAACTGTGAGCATCTCCTCGGAGTCTTAGCTTGTCCGTTTCCTCGAGAGTATATAGCTGACCAGAGATTGTCAGTGTCTTGAAGTCAGTATTTCAGTCATCCCCCTCAGTGAAGATAACAGAGCACTGGCAGGGGAGACAGATGCCCTGCCTCAGGTCACTGACTGAGGTAAGACCCCGAGTCTCTTACAGAGATGGAATTGCAGCCAAAGACAGTCTGTCCTGCTGCTCACCTCAGCACTAGGCTGGGTGCCCATCCTACCCTGTGAGCTCCGGCTTGCCCATCTGCAAAGTGAGCCCACTGTGCCCTTCCTCAGAATGTTCTGAGGATAAATGCTAGGCTCCATACTGGCTTGCAATGAGTGACATCTTTTGGAACCATGTTCATCAGTAAGATGTCAAATAAATAAATCTATAATTACCCCAAATGTTACTTGTGGTGGGTCTTGTGGTTGTCCTGCCTCAGCAAGAGTTCTTTCAGGCTTTTCCAACATTTATGCAACTGCACTGGGTACAATTGGGGACACAAGGCTGAGCTTCCCAGGTCACAGTATAAATTAAGTCTCAGCAAAATAAAAACTGAAGGGAAAATAGACAAAAGCAAAAACTAAGCAAAACAAAACACCCAACCAAAGACTGCTGACCAGAACAAACACCCCAGGTCCTGCATGCAGAAAGCCCCAACCTGCGGACCTGCAGTTTAGAAGTCCACTTCTGCATTGCCACAATGTGAGCAGAGCAGACAGTTCTGAGTACAGGGAGACTGCAGGAGAGCCTGGTGCACCTGCTCGTTAGAGGAACTCCTCCCTCTGTAGGTCCCTTCCAGAGCAATACCCAGGTCATCCAGATAAAATTAGCTAGGGAAGAGGACTCGCATGCTTGCAGACCAAATGTACCTCAAGTCCCAGTGAGGCCCGAGCCATGAAGTCACTCACTCTTTCACAGCACACACCGGCTAACAGACCTTGTCCCTGGTGCTCAACCTTCCTTTTTATTTTAGCTATAGATAAACTGAAGAAAATGGAGTAAGAACCCAGCCTGGGCGCCAGCCTCTACCTAGGACGGCCCACCTCGGGTGGCCACACACCTTGGCTTTCCATCCTCCTCCCTCCCTCTAGACTAAGCACCTTCTCCCAAGGCTCCATCTAGGGGTGCCACACTGTCCCTGCTCTGAGTTCCAGCTCTCACGTCTGATGTGCACGTGCTTCCTCATAGGGCTGAAAGCACGACCTTTCAGGAACATTAGTACACACATACACATATAATCACACGTGTAGGTGTTTGTGATCACAGTCCATAGATTAACACGGGCTGTACAGGTAATAAGTTTTGTATACATATATACATCATATATACTCACCCAAAAAATATATACCTTTACTCACAGTGTACATTTTTTTTGGTACATGTAAACAGGTAAAAATGTCACTTAATGCCACTCTGTATCTCACCTTTGCCACCCATAGGCCCTGAGGAGTCCCCTCTGTGATAAGGTAAGAAGTCTAGCTCACTGTTCAGTGAGTGCAGGATGGTACATATCACTTCCCCAGCAGCTGAGCATCCATTTGTGGTCCCACGATTTTGTTAATGAAAACTCTGGAAGAAATGTCCGTTTACTGCACTGCTGTGTCAACGGCACATGCACCTTTGGTGTCCATCACTGTTGCCACAGGGCTGCCACACAGACCAACAGAAGACACTTGTCTCAGCATGGGGGAAGGATGTGTCCACTGCTGCTGTTACGTGGGACGCTCTGTGCACACCTGTCAGGTATCCGCTCTAGGTTGGCTTTCCGTGTCACTTTTATCTGGATAATCTGGCCACTGTGGCAAGGAAACTAGAGTGTCTTGCCATTATAGTGTTGTCCATTTCTCCCCTGAGCTTCCTATGCTGGGTGCAGATTCGTGACATCAACCCCTCCCCCACCCCTTCACCACCAACGGACAGGGTTTCATCTTCTCAGAACATTTTCATCTTACCAGCTGTTTCTGCGTATTTACCATATGGATAGGCCGTTCTACAAACTCCTTTGTACTGTTTTCTGTGCCATTTCTAAGTCCACTTTTCTAAAGAATATTGCACTTTGGCTCTGTGACCTGCTTCTAGAGTGACTTCCAAACCAACCATCATCTGGCCTTGCTCATGGCCTCTGAGGAGAGAGGACACAGTATGGGGCCTGGCACCTCAGAATCCTGGACAACCGGGCCAAACGGCAAGTCAGTGTCCACCGGAAGGACAGGAATCCACGGGGCTCAGGAGTTTACAGGAAAGCCAAGGGTAAGCAGAATTCTTGCAACCCATAAACATTAACGTGTTAAAAACAGCTATTACATGGTACCTGGCTGCCATGTGCGGGACGCTGCTGAATGTTACCTGAGAAACTGGCTGACTCTCCTTGTAGGCACAGGAAGATGGAATTGCTACCTTAGAGCTCAGGAGACAGGCCAGCCTCAGACCACAGGGACAGTTGGGCTCTGACCCAAGCATTGAGCTCCAGGACCCTGGTAACCAGGCCCTCTCCCACACACACATCCTGGGCCAGGCAGCACACTGCACGTGTGTTTAGGTCCTTGTCCTCTCTAGGTTGGTGTCAGGCTGTCCCTGTTTGCGCATTCTCCAATTCCAAAGTCAGCTGTCTGCTTTTGTGCTCCACCCCAGCCCCCACCCCACCCCCCAGGAAACCCAGCCTCGAAAGTATGAGGAGGCACAGCCTTTGGGAGGTGACTTAAGTTGAGCCACCACACATGGACTCAGGGCTCTTGCTGGGACAAGGCTTGGCATCTCTCTCCTCCTTAGGACCTAGGACATGGTCTGCAAATCCCATGCACATCAGGCATGCTGTTGTGTGGTTACAGTTAGCAGACATTTGCTGAGAAGCTACCGTATGTCAGGTTGGCCTGATGCTGGGGACAAGGTCATCCCTCACACAGTGACTGTTGCTAGACTTCCCTGCTGCTAACTTTGAGGTGACAAGTCACCTGACTGCACACATCATTGACTCTCCTCAAAAGTCACCTAGCAGCTGTTAGAACTGTATTCTGGTTCATCAGGGAACCATTATTCAGAACCTACGGTGTAGCTTGGACAATTCAATGCAGCCCAAAAATCTACACTAGCTGATCCAGGGCTGGGTACTTCTGACAGAAGGCCTGTGGTGCCTCACAATTGCTGAAGCAGGAAGCTCAGTTGACCCTGGCTGGTACCCCACCTGGGGCCTGTAGGTCATGGCAGATAAAGGACAACACAGCTCCTGAATGCCCAGCTTTGGCCACTGGAGGGACAAGGAGCCTTTTGAGACTTTTCTCAGCATCTCTTCCGGCTCCCAGCAGTAATCACAGCAGTGGAATTTCTAAACCAGTGAGGGCCCTCTTCTAAAAGTACGGCTATGTTAGCAGAGCGACTGGTTCAGCTTCAGTTTGCCACACATTTGGATGCTTGCTGGATGGGGTGACACATACCTTTAGTGCCAGTGCTCGGGATGCAGATCTCTGTGAGTTTGAGGCCAGCCAGGTCTACACAGCAAGTTCCACGACAGGTGGGCATACGTAGTGAAACCTGTCTCAGAAACAAAACAACACAAACTCCGAGGTCTGTCTCCTCCCTAGCACTTTCCCACATCTTGGTAACACACCTAAGTGTCTTCTGGCTCACACAGCTGGTGTTGATTCTGGGGCAGTGTCCACAGGGGAATGGAAGCTTTTACCCACCCAGCAGCAAACCTGAAGCAGGGAAGAAGCACTCCCTCCAAAGTCCTTCCCTGAGGCAGACAGACTGAGACACCAAACACGGCTTCTCTACTGCTGTCTCAAAGGCCATGTGACCCACACAGGACTCCCCTAGCTCCCTCCCTCAGAGGCTCAACAAGGACCACAAAATTCTTGGTTAACAGAAAACATTCTCCAAATAAATCATGGCTGTCGCTGTGTGGGTCACCTGCTGCTCCCCTGCCCTGGCTAAGAAAAGGCCCTCTCATGGAATGTTGGCATTTCCATCTCCCACAGCAGAAGCATGGCCACTGTTGGCTGTGAGATTGTGTGAGACCTGACAGAAGGTAGGCCAATCGAAATGTCCCCAAGTGTTCCTAATGAGGCACAAGCTCCGTGAAGGTGTGTCACTGGAAAGAGCAGGTGCCAACAGCAGGCAGAAGCTGAAGTTCCTTTCCCCTGGAGTTGACCCTGACAGGTCAGAGGGGAGGGAGCTCCCTCCTCTCCTCAGCACTGAAGGAGCCACCGGGCGTCAGTGAAGGGAAAGGTGGACTCCACAGAGCATGCACAGGCTCACATGTGTAGATCACTACCCTGATGCAGCTTGGACTACACTAGTCTGAACTAAGGCCAGAAGGCAGTCCTCTGGGGTTCCTAGCTCTGGTCTCTGGGCCATGCTGTGTCCTTCCAAGGTTCTCTGCACATGTGAGTAGTTACGACACAGCTCTCTTTACTTTACTGTGACACTGATACGAAATAGTAATCTTAACTGTCTCAGCCATTTGTGACCTTGGCTAGTAAGTCTTTTAAAAACTGTCCCCCACAGCCTCTGCATCCTCCTTTGAGAAGAACCAGTCAGCATTTCTCATGGAGACGGCACCTCCTTAAAATCATCACTCTAGGCATCCCGAATCTTCCCACCTGGGGCTCTGCAATAGGAGCAGCTCTGAGAAGGAGGCTGAAGAAAAATGTGGTGCGCAGGGGTCTCCATCCACAGGGCAAGGGCACCTTTAGACAGGTCTTCAAAGTGCTCTGGCAGACATCTGCACAGTCTGCACAGCCCATGCTGGCCCAGTGCATCCCCAGTCGCTGCACATGGAAAGCAGCAGCATGGTGTGTTTGCACAAGGAGAGGAGGAGACTGCGACACTCATCCACAAGTCAGGAATTACAATTACCCTGCCTGTTAGGGTACTGTTTTTTAATTTACATAAGAACAAGGGGCTAGCATTCTCAGAGACAGCAGCGCCCAGCTAGTTCAGACAGTCCCCCTCCTTTGGCTGACCAGGTCCTGACTTCTAGTGATCTCTGCAAGGTCTCTATGATCAACCGATCCTGTCCTGAGAAATTTGAGACACATCACAAATGTGGAGCATATACGACTGGACAGCTTCACTGGACATCATCATCGTCAAAGAGATCTTCAAAATCTACGAAAACAAATAAAAAAAAAACCACATTAACAGGTACCGAAAAAGCAAGAGAGGACGCTGCTTCAAAATGAATTTGACAACAGGTGGAAAGGCAGAGAAAGTGGTAGACAGCAGTGGACTCCCCAAGAAGGCTCTCAACTTTATCCAGCCAGGGGGAGCAGATGGAACTCTGGAGGACAGTACTGCCTACAGTATATTCTTAATTGCTGTGGGATGGTCTTACTGTATGCTGTGAATATGTGTTGCTACCATTGGTTAATAAATAAGCTGCTTTGGCCTATGGCAAGGCAGCTTAGAGGCAGGCGGGAAATCCAAGCAGAGATACCGGGAGGAGAAAGGCAGGGGGGGAGGAGATGCTGAGCGCTGCTGGGGGAGCAAGATGTAATGGAACACAGGTAAAGCCATGAAGCCACGTGGAAAAACATAGATTAATAGAAAAGGGTTAAATTAAGATGAAAGAGCTAGCTAGAAAGAAGCCTGAGCCATAGACCAAAATAGTTTGTCATTAATATTAAGCCTCTGAGTGATTATTTTATAAGCTGCTGTGGGCCGGGTGGGGCACAGGAAAACTTCCGGCTACAATTAATCACGTTTTAATTTAGAAGGCATTTTTACTAAAGCACACGGGGTGCTGTGGACACATGCACAGCCACCTTGCAGGCTGGAGGCCATCCCTGTGTGAGGACACCAGCAGTGCCGTCCCTGCACCGGGAGAGTAGAGTGTACAGAGTTTGTCTCCTGGGCGGCCAGAGCTGACGGGCAGGCAGGAAGCCTCCTTTTTCCCCACATTAGGCCTTTCTGGGCAAAGGCCGTGTCCACAGTGCAGCTCTGGCCATGCAGGACTGCTCCACTCTCCTGCCTCCTGACCTCGGCATCATCTGTCTCTCTGGATGGTTACTGCCCTGACACCACTCCTGTCACCAGAGACGCCGCCCTATGATAGTGCTCTTCACAACACTGGCCAGCCTGCCAGGGCCCTCATCTGCCTGTCTGCAGCCTATGTAGATCTCCACTACTTATAAACCACAGGAAGGGAAGAGAGAGTCAGATCCAGTTAGGACCCATGTCCACCGGACAACAGCTCCAAAGCCCATCTGTCTGAGAAGCCAAAAGGCCTAGACAGAAGCCCTAGCCAAAAGTCTCAAACCACAATACATGGTTTCTGGAGCACCGGGGTTTGGCACGAACCGTGGAACAGCACACTCTCTCCTGAGCTCAGGCACTGAGTAGGCAGGAGCGGAGACAGGGACCCTTTCTATTCCTTCCCTGTCCAGCATGGTCACTGGGAGCTGGGAGTCTGCTGCCCACGGTACCAGGTGCTCCCTAACAGTGCAGGTCAGGCCACCTGTTACCTATAGGATCACACGCAGTGACCACGGTGACAGCTGGTCCCTCAAAAACCGTGAGCTGACCCAGATGAATGGGACTCTGAAGGAGTCCTGTTTCAACACTATGAGCCCTACAGGTGGCACACCCCACAGAGCCAGGAACCTCCCAAGGGCCCACAAGGCCGGGCTGGGAAGCAGTCCTGCTCCATCTACTCCTTGAACAGAATTTAGAGAAATGTCTTTGAAGGCTCCAGTGTTATGTGTGTTGCCCACCACCTCCAGCCCCTTCTGACACCAGTTGGAGAGAAGCAATGTCCCCAGGGAGGAATGCACCATCTGACAGATGGCTTCCCCACTCAAGCAACAGCCACCTGCCAGTGAGCCCCCAAACCCATCTGGACTCAGGACTTCAGGACCCTAGTAAGCTAGAAACCAACATGGCAGGATGAGTCACGGTTCTTTGGAGAGCCATGCACCACAGAGCTAAAGTGGGATGAAAGGGGAGAAAAACACTCCTATCCCCCCAAAAGGAAGCTGAGCCTAAACTTCCATATGCCACTTGAACCTAAGTAAGGGTTAACTAGTAGGAATGAAGCCCTCAGAAATCAGAAGCCCAGCCGTACATGCCCTGTCGCATGCCTGGAGACTTCACAGTCGGCTTTCACTGTTTCTTTGGTAAAATATTCTAACTAAGAAAGCTCTGAGCTATGAGACAGAAGTACGCCCTCTGTCCTGACTTCAGACACAGGCTGAACTCAAGCACAGCACAGCTGTCCCTCTACAAAACCAGCAGAGGACATGAGAATCCAGGTGGGCAAACAGGTGTGACCCAGGAAAGATGGGGCACAAGCCACCAACAGGACAGAGCAGAGGGAAGACAGAGCCACGCAGGTCCCTATGCCCAGGGCTGGGATGCAGGTCATAAGCAATGTGTCCATTTGCCTATGCTATCCATACCAGTGCTCAAACTCAACCTTGGGCAGGGCTTTATTTCATGTTTTTCCCCTCAAATAGGGCTGACAGCCAGAGCTAACAGCCAGATGACCACTCCATAAACTTGGCACAGGACTGAGAAGGGCATAAGCTCTGGGATACACTGTTCCACGATCCAAATTATCCATGACACAAAGCTGCTTACGGCAGAGGAAATTCAGATTAAGCCTGGCACCCAATCCTGGCACACTCACCATTAAAAAAGTCCGCATGAACTGCCTTTTCATTGGCTGCCAAGTCCATCAGGAGGCCGGTGCTCCCTCCAGCCTGGAGAAGGAAAGGTGAGGTCGTTCATGTGTTTGTTTTCTAAAAGCAGGTGGTAGGTCCATTACCATATCCATCGTACTCCCTGGGACAGAACACTGGTGACAGGAAGAATGCTCAAGTTGGAGCCAGAATTTTCCAGACAAAGGAAGTAGTGTGAATGGGGAAGCCAAGCAAATTATTTTAAAGGTCTCTCAAGGTCCCGTGTTCCTTGAGTCCTCCTTGGCATTGCCCAGTGTAGGACTCTCTTGCTGGAGTCTTCAGCCCCCTCCTGGACCATGGCACAGGCCACAAAAGTGCAGCAGCAAGTCTGCTGACTGAGAACACAGCCCTTCCCCTTGGGAAGCTGACCATCCCAGCATTGAGGTCTGGGATGCTGCTCTCAGAGGACCCTCCAGGGCGGCCACCATATGGTGGTGGTAAAATCAGGCCTCACCCAATCTGTGAGATATGATGCTCTCGGGACTCTGTGCCATTTAGTCACCCGGTAGGTAGGAGCAGAGACCTCAGGCAGCAGCACCCCAGAAAGCTGGCCCAGGCCCCTTTCTGCCTGGGCCCTAACGCCCCAAGGCTGCATGCTCAACCCTCTCCTGGTTCTCAAACGGCTGGACACCTCTGCTGTTCCCTTTCAAATCTGCTCTCTGGACTCTCTGCCTCCCTCCCCAGCCCCATCACCACAGTAAGCCATACAGACTCTGCCTCTGAAATCCTGACCAAGCTCCCCCTACCTTCACTGCCTCATTCAGAACCTCTTCGAGTCTTAATCCTTCCTGTTTCCATTTCTCTACTGTCTCCCTACACACCCAAACTCCAGAGCCTCCAAAGGACCAACCTCCACAGGAAGTCGGCCTGTGTCTCCTCACTATGAAGCCCTCACACCACCTGCTCCAGTACTGAGGAGCTTGGGGCTGGACGCAACGGCCTCAACACTGGATCACAGAGCCCATACACTCATTCTGCAGGCTACATGATGCGGCCCTGCCTGTTCCCCCTCCTCCATGCCCAACTACATGGCATTCCCTTCCTTTTGTGGGCCAGGGAGCATCACTCTTCCCGAGCTCTGCTCCGATGGCTCTTTTCCTCGATGGCCACATGACAACAGGACACATCCTTCACCATTTGACTCAAGGGAAGCTCCCCTCTTGAACCTCAACTGCGCCAACCAAAATCCCATGGGTACTTCTGTAGGGCACCCCACCCCCCTACCCTTGCTATTATTACACTTCGGTTTTGCAATCCGCCTCTTCTGGCCATACCTGACCTCTCTTAAGGACAGGGCTGCATCTGAGCATCTCTCTACTCGCTGAGTTTTGCGGGGGTGCAAGAGGCTCTGATATACAAGAGCCGGCCACCTCACTGGAACACCTGTTGCAGATTAAAATCGCTCTGTGACCATGTTGGAGACCAGAGGCATAAGACGGCTCCAAAACTGTGTGTCTACACGAATTCACCGAGTCCCAGCGCAATGCACACAAATGCCACACATCGCCTCTTGCCCTTGCCCCCAGGGCTTGGTGCTGGCGGCCAGTCAGTCCATAAGCCTCGCTTGAGATTTCTCTCCCTTTGTCAGGAGCCCCAACACGGACTCCGGCCCTGCGACCGTCACCACCGGCCTGCAGCTTTTGGATCCCCAAAGGCGTGGGCTCCCGCGCGCGTTTGCGGGCCGTGCTCCCGCCCCCCGCGCCCCGCTCCGCGCTGCCGCAGCCCCACCTCATCCAGGTCCACGTAGGGCCCCGCGCCCTCGGGGAACATCTCATCCACGGCCGGCTTCATCTCGGGGCTGCGGCGTTGCGCGCTCACTTCCGGCCAGCCTCATCCACTTCCGGCGTGCCTCCGAACAGGTCTAGACGCGGGAGGACCGCGACTCGGTGGTGCCCCGCCGACCGGGCTCCTGGGCATCTGAGCTTTCTCCCTCGGAGCAGGCTAGGGCGGCGGTGACCGGTTAAAGGACCTGCAGCACCCCACGAGCACGAGTAGTTGGCGGAGAAAGGAGACTGTCCGTTTCCCAGAAGGGATGCAGTTCAAAACCGCCAGAATGGCTACTATACAGATACCGCAGGCGGTAATGCGGTAGCGAGAAGGTGGGGGTAATGGGACCCCCAGGCGCTGCTAGGAGTAGCAGACATCCAAAAGTTGTGCACAGTGGCCGTGACCCAGAATCCCAGCCTGGGTTCACTCGGCAATCGCTCAGGATCACCTCAGTCAAGTGGAGGAAGCAGCCCAGTACCCACGGATGCATGTGCGCAGACAAAGCCAAAACAGGCGTTATCCACGCGGTGGGATAGTGTGGAGTCTTACCTAAGAAGGGATTTCTAACCCGTGGGCATGGGCGAGCCTCGAGGATGCTGTTACGTGAAATAAAACAAACGCTGTGACCCCACTCTTATGAGATCCCTAGGGCAGCGAAACTCCTAGAAGTGCCGCAGTGCAGTGGCTTGGGGGTGGCCGATGTTTGGTGGACACCGTTTCAGATCTGCAAAGTGAAGCGTCCTAGAGGGGGGGGGGGGGGTGTCCGTTATATCTGTGGTGTGTTCACTGAGAGGTGGTTCATTTTAGGGTGCTATATTGTATTGTACCGTGGTTTTTAAAGAATGAATGAAAAAGAGACGAGGAAGGGATGGAGGGAGGTCCATTGGGAGAGAAAGCCTGAGATGCTCTGACAGTCTAGACTATTCTAGTGAGGCTCCTGGATGTCCCCCTAGGACCCTCTGTGCGCCTCCTTCTAAGATCTAGGGGTTTTTTAAAATTTATTTATTTTTATTTTATTTTATGTGCATTGGTGTTTTGCCATGGGTGTTGGGTCCTCTGGAACTGGAGTTGCAGACGGGTGTGAGCTGCTATGTGGGTGCTGGGAATTGAACCTGGGTCCTCTGGAAGAGGAGTCAGTGTTCTTAACCATTGAGCCATCTCTCCAGCCCCAAGATCTAGGTTTAATAAACATCCCTGTGAAGTTAATGTAGCAAGAAGCCAGAAACCAACTGATATCTGCCAGCCCTCCACGTCTGATATAAAGGCTCATCACCCTCCACTATCCCCAGATGGTGTCATCCGACCCTTCCTTCAGCAAAACCCCTGTTACTCCTGAGTCATTTCCCATCTACCCCCCCCCCCCCCACTCCTTGACTGTCAATCAGTCCCTGTTTGCGAACGTTGTTGAGCCAAGTCTCTCCATGCAGTACAAGGCTATGGCTCTTGTACCTGTCACAATGGCTTTGGATGGCCTCCCTTATTCTGATTTTATAGTGTTCAGGGACCGTTTCATTTTGTTGTGGTTGTTTGTTTGTTTTGTTTTGTTTTTGTTTTTCCTGTAACAACTCTGAGAAGTCAAGAGCTCAGGGTCTGGGCTGCTAGAGTGAGAATGGGGGTCAAGGGAGAAGACGGCTCCAGGGAAACCGACTTAGCCAAGATACAATGGGAACTGTGGCCTGGGCAGTCATTGTACGCCCACCCCCACCCCCACCCCCCAGCCTAAGTGCAGGATCTGGGAGAAGTAAGCAATGACTGGAGAGCCTCAGATGCCAGGTCAATGTTGTCCTGAGATGCCCAAGTGAAGGTCACAGCAAGGACGCTGAGACAGACTGGCAGTCAAGAGGAGCCTGGTATTCAGTTTCTCTCCCAACTAGTGTGGGGGCATTAACCTGTGTGTTCTATGCCTTGTATGTGTCGGGGAAGCTCACCAACTGTACATCGGCTGCACCTGAACTATGTTACACTGTCTGCACATCCTCCCACACCCACAGGGCTATCCAGGGTGGCCATCCCCTTCCCCCAGCAGCCTCAACCTGGAATCTTTCCCTCAAAGACTGAGTGTGGGCTATGATTCTCCCTCACGGACAGGGATATGACTTCTTGATTCCTGCTTCTCCCAACATGCTTTGTACTAAGCATGGATGCTTGGCCCCACCGTGACTGCTGTTCATAGGCAGCCAAGGGGAGGAGCTGCCTGGGATGCTGTCTGGCTTGCATAACTAGGCACGTGGCTTTAACAAGTCAGGCTGTACCGGTGTCTTTGTTTCAGGTTCCTCACCTACAATCCAGGGCCACCGCAGCCCACGCCCGGGTCACTATGAGGGTAGAATGACAAGGTGATACCTAAGGGTGCAAGACCTGATTGACACTCGTATGAATAGAAATCATGCCTGTTTTTATTAAAGATGTGCTCAGTACTCATCAGAATAAAGCCCAGCGAATTCACAGAGTGATACAGCACACATCGGCTCCTTGAAAGAAACCCACCGGGGTGTTATGCATCTTCATGGGGAGTTTATTGATCACGCGTCCCATCCCTTGCCCATCACTGTGTCTTTAGACCACCTTAGGCCCCAGCCAGTGCAGACAGGCAGGCAGCAGACTGGACACTGCTCAGTCCTCCTGGTAGGGGACATGGAAGCCCAGGGTGCTCCCCAGAGGGAAGTGAGCAAAGAAGGTTCTGGCCATGTCCTCGATCTGTGGATAGGCACCCTGGGTCTGGAAATATTGCACGTAGTTCCAGAAGTCAGAGGTGGAGAAAGGCCAGTAGGGCATGGCTGGTGGCTGAGTGTAGGGGTCTGAAAGACATGGGGAAGCACCTCAGGGCCTGTCCATCATCCCTGGAAGAACACCCCCTCTACAGCCAGGGCACATGGATGGTGTCCCCCAGGGCCTGCCACAATGATGAAACCTTCCCACACAGGAGTGTAGTCTGAACCATTCTGAGTGTACCTTTTCCCCGTTATGGTACCTGGTCTGGTAGACAGAGGGGAAGGGGGAAGGAAGTACAAAGTGGGGCCTTGTTCTTGTCTGGGGAGATGTTAGGCAGGGAGGCAGCTGGGTGATGGATGAGGGGCTCAGGCATCATGCCGGATGAGGCTTCAAAGAACACAGCACCCTTGTTCTAGAGCACAGGACAGGTCACCTTGCTGGGACTGGGCTGAGTTGGGACTCCTGAGAGAACCCAGGGTCTGAGCCCAGGCTGAGGGTGGGACCCTGAGGGCTCATCCATCTCCCTTCTGTCTGGGTGCTCCCACATGACAGAAGACAAGGCCGACCTGATGCTGTCCTGGATCCCTTAGCATGCACAGCTCCCTGCTGGCAACGGCATCTACATTGTCATACTCCCAGGAGAGTCTGCTGGGGATAAGCAACCTCTGCTCCCCACCCACCTGCCTGTACCAGTAACTTATGCCAGCGAAAGGAAAGACATTGAAAAAATGTACCTGCTTCCTCGGGCATCGGCTTGGCTCCTGCAAAAGAAAAGGAGAGTCATCACCCAGGGTAACCCTCCATTAACCACTGCAGACCTCAGCAAGGCCAGTGTGGAGGAGAGACGTGGAGAGGTAGGAAAGCTATGCTCCATCCAGGCCCAGAGCGGCCCCTCACCTGCAGGAATCACCAGCAGGATGCCAAGGGCCAGCCACCACAGCACGCAGGCTTGCATCCTCACCAAGCTGCACTCAATACACTCAGGACCACCTGCAGCAGGAGGAAGCCAGGGATGCTGCTGCTGCCCCCTAGGACTGGCCCATCCTGCCACCCCAAAGTGGACCACCCTTGGGAACCCTGGCATCTTCATAGCTACTTCTGTTTCTGACTTCCTAAGCCATTACTCTGAAGTGAAATCTTATTAATTTTGACTGCTTAAGAGATGACTCCCCACCCGCACCCCCACCACACACATCAGGTTCACCCTATCTGTAGAGAGAGCAGTCCAGACCTTCCCAGAGGGTACCTTGTTGCTGGTCTACTCTGCCCAATCTGCAGCCTTGTGGGGCGACTGCCAACGCTCAGGCTCCTCTTTATAGGAGGGCTGGGGACAAGGAAGGAAGCACCACCCGCCCAAGCCATCAAACTGAATATTTCATCCCCGGGCAGAGGACTATGGGTCTCTGTTTCCCTGCTGGCTGGAGGGAGGAGCTGGGGGAACAGCTAGGGGAATTGGATCACAGATCAAATCCATCAGTTTTCAAAGCTGAGTTCAGCATGGGTGCAGCTAATACCCCTCCTCCTCACAAGGAGAGCCATTCTAAATCTGATACAGGAGCTGCTGAGACCCCAGTCCTGTGCTATGGGCCCTCTGTGATCCCATGGCCTCCTGAGTAAGCCTGCAGACACTCCCTCACCCAGGACACTGGCAGAGCAGCCAGGACAGAAAGTGTGGAGCCAGGCTGGACCCCTTTCCCCAGACCAGAGCTTTCCTCCAAGCCTCTGCCGGGGGGGGGGGGGGGAACTGTCCCAGCCAAGGGAATATCAGCAGCTAACAGAGACCCTTTGGCTACTGTGCTTATCCCTTACTAGAACCTGTGCCCACCTGTCCAAGTAAGTGCAGCTCTGTGTCCCCACCCCCGAGGTCTCAACACTGCTGGACGCAGAGCCTATGTCCAGGTTAATGGTCTCCATTGTGCCCCCTGGGGGTCCTAGCACCCTACTGGATACAGGGTCTGTTTCCGGGGTAATGATCTCCATGGTTCCCCAAATCTCAGGACTCTCAAGGATTCTGCTACCCCGTCCTGGAGTTGTGTGGCCCAAGGGTCCCAGATTCATCGTAGTTGTCCCTCAAGTCCTCATCCAAACAATTCATGACTTATACTTTCCCAAGTAGCAGCCTAAATATAACCAGAGACCCAGAGAGGGGTACAGTCCGGTAGTATTGGCTTGTAACCATACAGCAGAAAGCCTCTGGGTTTCATTTCCAGAACCCTGGCCTCTGTGCCACAAGAGGTGAGGCTGCTTCTATGGGCCATTATGTCAGGATCCACAAGCCACCTCCAGGTATGTGATTCACGAGGACAGTCAGGACAGCACAGCTGTGCTCACAGCCGTGATTTACAGCATGGACACAGAGGGCCTGGCGAAGGGAAAGGGGTGTAGTCAGAACCCAAAGGAGCAGACACCCTGAGCCTGAGCATCTGGCCATCAGAGGTCCACCACGGTGTGGCAGTCGCCTGTCCACCCCTGATGAGCCCGTATTTGAAGACACCTGTGGTAGAAACATGGCAGAGAAGGAAATGTGTGGTACCTTTAACACTGGTGTGCTAACCTAAGACTGAACTTAGAAAAGTCTAGAGTTAATAAGCAGCGATGGGTCTGGGAGGGGAACCTGGGTGTCTGCTTTCTCCTCTCTTTCTGGGTGCGTCTTTTCCTCAGTTTATTACTTTTGCATAAGAATACTAAATTAAAGAGGCCCACTGTCAGCAGCTCTCTATTACTTACGCTGGCTTACTGAGGTCAGTCGATCTCC